AAATTAATGTATATAATCTAATTCACTTTGCACAAAAATAAGGTGAATTTCATTTTTATTGCTGTAGTTTTTTAAATTTTGGAAGAAGAGCCTGTTAAAAGATTGAGGCAGCAGTGAATGAGTCAGGAAGACTAGTTGGAACAATACTGGAAAAAAGGTTATGACATGAAATTAAAACCTAAAACTACCTAATTCCTTTAAAAGGAAGAAGAGGTTTTATGCGTTCATAGAAAAACTAATGATTCTGCATAAATTTAAGATTGTTGGATATTTTTCAACCCATAAATTCCCCCCACCTCTTCCTTTCCTTTAATTTACTCACAGGAATTCTCCTATCCCATGCTTTGTTTTACATGAGGGGAAAAAACCCAGGGCAACTTAGTGTAAAGGTGTATGATTTCCAGAAACTTTGAAGACATTAAAAAATCAAATTTTCTTTCAAAATTTGCTTTAGGAAGTGTTTTGGGAAAATAAAACATATGCAGTTATTAAAAAATAAAGTTGCTTGCTCACTGAATTATGTACAAACATCAATAAAAATAACATTAAATGAGAAATACAGAGATAATGAATGGTAATCATGTAATTTATTTTTTCAGGAAGTAACCATTGTAAATACTTCTATACATATATAATCACATTTTGAGGGTTGTGGTATATTATTGGAGAGATTTTAAACATTCCACTAAAATATCTTATTGCTCATTCTGTGATAATGTTAAGTGTTTCACCATACTTCCCATTATTATATTTCAGTTATTGGAAAAAAATACCCCCCCTTTTTTTTTTTTGTCTAAAGTGCTGTTTTTCTTAAGTATTGTGAACATCTATCTGTTTTTCAGTTGCAGAGTGAAAAGAAAAGCACATTTGTGTTCCTTGGTTCTTTCTGTTTCCTCCTTGAAAACCTAGAAGGGAAGTGCTCCATTCGCTTTCTGAAGCAAACGTGATTGATGATCTGTCACAGGATATATGATATGACAGGAAGCCAGCTTAACAGCGAATGTCTCATTAATACATTTGTCCATTTTGGTACATGACTTTGTGAAAGTTAAGGTTGCAGAGGTACAGCTGTCTCTCCACTGCAGTAAATGGCAAACCCCACTTCCCCTCAGAGGAAGAACTTGGGAACTGTTGCTACTTAAATCAGTATTCAAAGCTAACTTTTTAAATGTACTTTTTACATGGGGCTGAACAAAGACTGCTGATAATCACAGTGGCACTGATTAGTAGCTGCCACTTCTTGTTTTCAGAAATACAGAAGTCTTTACTCAGATTTTTTTTTCCCATCAAATTCAAGTCACTCTACATTTTCAGTAATTTATCCATGTTAAATAGTAGCTACACCACCAATAATTTTGGTCACAAATTAATAAAAGAACATGTATACTATATGGAATGAGTAAAATTATGCTTCTGACCCAGAGGAGGGCAATGTAGCCCTATTAAAAAAACAAACTAAAAAACCAGAAGAGTGCACTGCTCTCATGAGGTTGGCTATTTTTGTCTGACACACCAGCGCTGGTTGGTACAGCAAACCATCTTTAGTTTTCCATAGTTTAGAGGAAGACGAGACTGTTAGAAGCCATCCTTTGAATAGGAGAAGGAAATAAAGCAGTATCAGGAATTAAGTTTGCCAAAATGTACTTTATACCACAAATAAACATTAGTGCTTATTCTTGCACCACTAAGTTGTAACTGATTTAACTGGTACAAAAAAAACCCAAACCAAAACAAACAACAGTGTTTTCTCAAGTGTTTTTCCCTTTCTGAGCACTAATCCCGATGGATGCTTGTCACCAGATTAGATTGTGCTTTGCATTTAATCAGTATTTTCTGTCACATCTTTAGTCTTAATAAAAATCTGTGCTTTTACAGTTAATGATGAAATAAAAAAAAGGAAAGTTTAACTGGAGGAGAGTATGAATGATAAATGTTATGTGCATGAAAACTACAAATTTGTTAATTCTCCATAGAATATTTTACTAGCGTGAAATATATTTAATATCTTGTTGCTAAAACTAAATTCTTAATTCAAATAGCTTTTTTTTTGTTGTTTTTACTGTTCAGCTCTTAAATACTCAACCCTACTGGTTATATTGAGGAAAAAAGATACTTTAATAAATGTTTAAAAATTAGGTTTTAGTGAAAAACTTACTCGTCTAAAAATGTAAAATGTGATGCTTGAACTAGTAAATCTATCCAAGTATTTGCAATTACTTGTTTGACATTTGCAAATGCCAAAAATAAGAATGTCTTCACAATGCCTCAGGATCCAAGAATGATCCGTTCTTCACCATGTCTAGTCTTGTCCCAAGAGATAAGTATTAACAGGTTCTCAAATTCAATTTTATAAGAGAAAGACCATTACACTCCAAACAGCAAGGAAAGAAAATGACTAGCTGCAGCTGTGGATCTCAGTGACCTGGCTAAGAGAATGCCAGTAAGAACCAATCCAATTCACTCCAAAGTTACTATAGTAGGAATAGATATATTATTAAATATTTGTACTCCATTCTGCCTGACATAACTGTATTGACAGAAGAGACAGAAGAACACAGATTTACCCTTACTGTGACTCTGTATTCACTATTATGTTTTAACAAGTAAGAATTCCAGTACCTACAGATATTACTTTTAAGTTACTGAATGAAAATCCCTCAAATATCAGTTATGTGTCACTGGACACCTTGAACTTTTGTTACTGCAAGAACAGAGGAAAAAATGAAAGGCATTGTCAGGCTTGCTGTTAAACGATCTTGCTTAAATGACCTGGGAAAGATAAATATCTATTAGACTTATTCATGATGTGCTCTATGTTTTATTTTTTGATATCCCAGATGAGCCTGCCATGATACTTTACTAACTTCTACTAAGATAACTAACTTTTTCTTTTGTTTTCAGATACTGGATTTTTATGTGTCTTGGGTAGCTCACTATTTTCTGTATGTTAAACACAGTGATCGATTCTCACTTTAACACCTTTAGCTCTCCACAAGTTAATCATTGCATTGCGTAAATAAAAATACTCAGAACTGAGGGTTACTTACAACTTTGTATATTTTATTAACCAAAATACCAGGTGAAGAGAAATAAGTTACAAAAATTGAAATGAAATGGCTACGGTAATCTGTTTAATAAATTAACTAAGACAAAATATTAAATATTTCTAAGAAATCAACCCCAAAATAGCAGAATATATAAATTGTAACTTCAAAAGATAAATCTGATTCCATTCTGTATTTATCCTTCTAAGAATCAGTATTTTGTATATGTTACAAATATGAACCATTAACTCAAATTCCTGTTAAATTACTGTTCAGTTGGAAAGTTCTGGAAGGTCAGCCAGAGTAATTCTATAACAAAGGAACAGAATTTAACCAAATTTAATTATTTTGCTTAAATTAAAAATCACAGTACCACTATCGCACAGTAAGTCAGTCAAATGTGGTGAGCAAAGCACGGAAAGCAACAAAGACTTTTTTACACTGAACAAACCCAGCAATCACATGCTCACTACTCCGCTTACAGGAAAGCAAACTTGTTATGCTGAATTTTGATTATGCTTAGTTATTATATACACTATGAAAAATTGTATCAAGCTGTGACCTATTGTGAAGGCAGCCTTAGTTTTTGGGTCTTCTAAAGGTATGAAGAATCACAACGCAAAATAAAAAGAAAGGGCTCAGTTCTGCAAAGTATTTTTGCATCATCATGTGGATATCAAGGAAAGGGAAAAAGTGCGTAGTGATTTGCAGCGTTGCACTGCAGTCAAGTGACAAAACTCCCACAAAATATTATTTTAATTTATTATATTATTTTAATGAGGCCTGAGCCTCAAAGTGCTCTAAGATAAATTAACTCCTCATTCCTAGTGCCATTATAACCTCTGAACAAATGTAATAGGACAATCACCTAAAAAAAATATGTTATGTTTCTGTCTGAAGGTGTTTTATCCAGCAATATTAGCAACATGAACATAATGAATATTTTCTCTTTTTTTCTCTGCTTGTTTGCCTATGTGTGTGACAATGCTTCATGTAATGGTTTTTACATGTGTGCAGTTTTACGATCTCCCGCACATAGGAACTACAACAGGAAACTACGGTAGTATAACTGCGGTGTGTGCTGGCACGGCACTGAAAAAATATTCTAAATTCAAACCTCATCTACCTTAGAAAAAGGTCGTGAGAATTGACTTTTTCAGTCAGTTATCTTGAGTAAAAACTCCACTCACATAGACATCATTCAGAATTTTTCTGAAGATTTTAGTGGGCTGCTCTATACAGTGGATAAGTGTGTAAAATTGACCTAAAGACACCGCCTTGTTCTGAGAAGCTGACCCTGCGTGAAGAGGAAACACAGCAGACTCGAGCTGTGACCTTTGTACTGTCCCTTTCCCTTTTGTAACCACCCTGAAGGAGGCGGCTGCTGTTGCTGTTTTCCTCATACCCACTCCATGTACAGGACCACGCAGCTCAATGTAACAATCTCTGGAGAATTTTCTTTTGGATGTTAAGGAAAGGAGACATTAAAAGATTTTTAAATTAAATTAAATTAAGCCAGCTTCACTGTAAGTGAAGGAATACCGGACAAATTTTCTTTCTGAGGAATGGAAGACTGAAAAGACTGAACATTTATTCCCTAGGGAGAGCTCTAACACTGGGCAATAAATGCTGGATACAACTAAAAAAGTATCTGCCCTGAGTTCAAAGGAAAAAAAAGTATTTCAGAGTATAATGACTGAAAATTAACTTTTTTACTTTTACATAGAATAAACCCAAAACATTTGGAAAGAAAATTCTCAAGAACAAAAATGACTTCTCTAATGAGCAGCACGGGTTTTCCAGTTGCCAAAATGTCTGAACTTTTCCCAACCAAAGGCTAATTAGCACCTTACCAGACTCCCAAAAAGACACACTGAATCAGCAACAGCACAGAACAGACTGCTGCCGCCTTCCTCCAGCCCGAAAGTGCTATGATGCAGTGCTCCCTCTTACTCTGAGAAGCTGACGTTTGGATTGAGACGCTGCATACGTTGCTTGGATTTGCCATCTCTGTTATCAGCACACCTTCCTTCCCAGCACCATGGAAAAGAAGGTGCTGATGAGTCACACTTTGTGTACCCTCTGTCCTTTCATAGAGCCATGTTACTCAGGGAAACGCGCGCCTCTGGCCTTCTCCTGTCAGCCCGAGCAGTCTGAATCTCTCTGCAGGAGGAGTGGCAAAGTAGGCTTTTTGCTCCTCCGAATACCTTTCCTTCACTTCAATTATGTCCCTGTAGCGGCCGTCCTGCCAGTGGAAATTGAAGTGCTCCAGCAACTCAATTCTTTTTTCCTCTGTGCTCACACAGTCAACAGGGGCAGACTGTTCCAGGAACGGTACCTGAATATCTGGGAACAGGAGGAGACCCCGGATAGCAAACCAACCGCCATACTGAGGATGGATACATACGCCATAGATCTTCTGGAATAAAAAAAAAAAAAAAAAAGAAGGATCTAGGATGTCTCATTTTGTCTCTAGTAATGGTTAGAGTTCAAAGCATCAAGCTTTGATGCAACTTCTCACACTCCTAGCCCTCTGTTGGAGTGCTATACAGAGAAGAAAGGACAGCTCTTTCCTGACCATGCAGCTCAAAGCATTGCATTTAGTTCCCATTCTCCTGTGACCACACACACAACGCTGTAACGTGGGGAGAGGTCCCTTTTTTAAAATTTAACACAGAAATTAACAACAGTGCAATTTTTTTTCCTATTTGTAATGCTCCAAGCAATAGGTCTTCTTTTACACTGGAATTTATTCTCCTGTCTGAGTAGGTTTAATAGATCAAGATATTCTTCTCCACGTATGCATCTCCCTTCCACCCCGAAGAATCCTGGAACCTTCCTATTCCTGTCTGAAACACTTTATGCATCTATATGTGATCTGGACTTTGGATTTTCCTGCAGGAGGAACTGGTGAGTAAACAATAGTTGTACAATGAAGTGTTTGCAGTTTGGTGGTTCTTCCCAGACTGTGTTTTTGCCTCACCTTTTTCCCCCAGGGATCAAGCTTCACATCCTTCCTTTGGTAGTAATATGCAGCTCCAGCAACATGGGCAGCTGTCTGCGCCAAGAACTTGGGCTTTCGGCTTGGCAGGATCTCGTAATCAAAGATGACGTCCACCTTCTGGTCAGGGAATTTCTGGGGAAATTAAAACAAACATCATCCCAGGCTCATGGAAAAAGATTTGCCACTACAAAAGTGCTGGATGCTAGAAAATCAGGCACATGCGAAGCCTGCAGATTTCCACATCCTGCTGCTGAAATCTATCAGCAAGCTTGTGGCCTTGGGCTTCCAAACTATGACTGTAAAGCACTCCGCATAGCTACAGGTTGTAATGGCAAAGAGACAGAATATGCAAGTAAAGCAGGTCAACAGCCTGGTGATGCTTTTAGGAAGAATTACCATCATGAACAATGCTTTACCCTTCTAAAGAGCAAAGACAGGAACTGGAAGGCTTTGTCTACTGCTCAACCCACCTGGTTATATGCCACAGTAGTAAACAGAATAGGTATTTCAGGTTCTTACCTCCTTCACATGTGATAAATGATGAGAAACACACTGATCCACAGGATCCCTGATTATTTTTAACCGTTCTTTGTTCACAAAAGGTTTAAGGGCTTTGTCAAACATGGAAGGCGTGCTGAGGACCACAAAGGCCAGTGTGTCGTCTGAGTAGGGGAGATGAAAGGCTGGCGGGAGAACAGCATTGTACCATCCAACCTTTGGCAAAGAAAAACAAATCTCCATTAAAACAGGGACACCATTATTTTGCTAGTGGGCATGCAGGAATTTAAAAAAAAGTGGAAAGAAGCTTAGCCACCTTCATTTGCAAACCAGATATGCAGCCTGCCTAGTGCTTTCCTTTCAAACCAAGCTGGTTTGCATACTGGGATTTACAGTTTCTGGAAGCTGTACCTTGATGTGGGAGATAAGAATCACCCACTGCGTTCAGCTCAAGGCTGCCCTTTATCCTGCTCGGCTGGGCTCAGATAGAGGCTTCAGGTAGAGGGAAGTATGAGCAACCAATCTTGCCAATGCAAATCAGATGTTTTGGTTTAGATTAAACTTTTGCAGGGTTGTTGTTTTGTTTTGTTTATTGTTTATTTTTTTTTCTCAGCTTCAGCCAGAAAGAAACTGGTACGTCTGTTTTGCTCATGTGACAAGTTGCATGGTTTATTTCTTCAGCAAGAAACATTCATGTGTGAAAGTGAAGGATGTGAAGCTCCCAGCAGTGCTAAAATCCCCCAGAACCATCAGTTGTAGTGCATGGATTGTGACAAGGCCACATTCTGGTATTTCTTTCCGGGGCTGGATGTGTTATAACACAGACGAGAAATGAGGGATCAAGCCAGAGCAGCAGGAAGACACGACCAGGGGCCAGGGCTCAGACCAGCAACTGCCAGGCAGGAGGAGATAACGGTCAAACCCCTGCACTCCATCGCTAATGTACTGCACAATAACATCACTCTTTTTATAAGGTGTGACAACCCCCACTCTCCTGGGATGCCACAAAGACCAGGTCTGATGTTCAGAAAGATGTCAAACAATGTAACTTAATATTTTGTCTGAAAGTGCAAAACACTGGTCATCTCTAAAGATCAATGAAATGAATCTGAAAGTTACTTTATAGGGGACAGTGGCAGCCAGACCTGCCCATATGGAAACACAGAATGAAAACTAAGTTTACATTCTTACATCAAAAGTAAGATGTAAAAGTTTAACCAGTTTTGATATGTCTTGTTTAAGATGCTGAATCAAGATGTTACAAGAAATTGAATCTAAGGTTTGCTTATTTCCCAGTTTATGTCAGGCAGTGCAGCGGGGCTACCTGCACCAGGATCAAACCTCCAAAGAGATACAGCGCTGTTAAGGTTTCTCTCTGGGAGCTGTATCCTTTTTGATCTGGGTTCTGTCCCTAATCCTGCTGCTGTGTTTCAGGAAAGCAGTGTTAAATTAGTCTCCAAATTCTGGAGATTTTGCTTCTCTCAGCACCTTATTTCCTTTCACTTTCTGTCAGATCAACAATACAGCAGGAAATACAAATATTTCTGGTTAACAAATACAACATTCCCCGAGGAGGGGAAGGTCAGGCTTATTGCAGATTGGTTTGTATTCGATGTCATAGATCGATTTATTGCAGATTGCCTCTGGAGCCGGCAAAGATGGAACCCCGAAGTGTTGGTGGAAACTGAGCATACACAGCTCCGCAGAGGGGAGAGCGAAAGGGGAGAATGGGCAGAACGCCCCGCGTGTCCGCAGGACGAGGCAGCCCGCGCTTTAATACACGGGTGTTTCTACATTTAGATTAAAATTTAAGCTTGCTGGGAGGACTTTACTCTCTGTGAGTCCAGATGGGTCTTTATTTACCTCTCCTGACCTTAACGGAGTAGCACCAGCGTAGCGGACCTCAGCAAACCTCCGGTTCGACTGGACAGCCATAACCTTGACCGGCCTTACCGGGCGGACCCAACAGACCCCTCACACGTGCTCCTTAACCCGCGCTGCAGCACGCCCCCTCGGGCGCACTGCCAGCTCCGCCCGCCGCCC